AAAGGCTCGGCGTCGTAATAAGATAAAAATAAAATAATTCGGATAATTCTGTAGTCACAACGCAAGCAGATAAATTAAACAAAATAATTGGGTACCAACTATTTATTTAAAAGGAAGCAAAACATAGTCATTTGAAGTTCATTATATTACAAGAGTCTGATAATAAAAGATAGAAATCTTAAAAACAAAACAAAACAACACAGCGATTCATTTTCTATCTTGATCCCGCTAAATCTCGTCACCTGAAAGGGGTAACAGCTATAAGCACATAGTAGAGTGAGAAATATTATACTGTGAGTGTAGGGCACAAAATAGCCATGGATATTTATTTAAGCTAAAACATTAAAATATTAACATAATTTGAGTTAAATGCTCAAATTAATTAAGTGCCAGAAACTGAAATAATTAACTATAACCACGGTACATAATGAAACAGAACAGGGGTCACAAAGTGACAATCACTACAGGGGTCAATGGATCCATGACAAACACGGAACCACAAAGTGGTCAAACAGGGGCCAATGGTTATTTAAGTCCCCCAAGGCGTGAGACTCCCGTGGTGGTACTTACAAAACATAATTGTTTATGAGGTTATAGTTAAATATTCTTTAAAATATACACAAGCATATCCATGAGTTTCATTTTTACAAATAGGGCTCAGAAAATAATCCAAGTAACTGAAAAACATAACTTTTATTAATATACTAATAAAACATAACTTTTATAAAATAAATTATGGTGAGTCAAAACATACGTAAACTATATTATGGTAACTCAAGACATATTTAAAACATATTATACTAGCTCAAGGTATAATACAACTCACCTCTAGTACAAATTTATCCCTACTTCTCGCACTTTCGAGCCTCACTTGCCCCGTTACACTCCTTACGTTCACTTTGTTTCTGTGCTACACCAACGCACTTCACTTCCCTATTTATACTTAAACAAGGTGTGAAGCCCAAGCAATAGTTGTATACGTGGCGGCATTCTCAATCCCCCACTAATTTACCCCTTTTACTTTGACCCTTTACTTTGACTCTTATCCTAATCCAGAGTCTTATCCCTTTTGTTTAACCCTTATCCTGTACCAACGTCTTGAGACTTGAATTATGGGTTTAAAGGGTTGCTATCTCTTTGGTAATTTGATGACTCCTAGAATTATATACGACTATAAGTTAGGTTCATGTCTAAAAACCTTACTACTCAACTATAAGTCACTACTTACCACTTACTAAAATATTTAACGTGTAGTGTTTCACAGCGTATTTCTTTAATAATCAAATTCCCAATTTATTATGCATTTATTTATTATTATTTGTTTAGTTATTATTCTTGTCATTGCATGTATATATATATATATTTGTTTATTATCATTTATTTATTTTTTTTTTGAATTCTATTTATTGTAATTTTAAAACATTCGGGTGTCACATTTCTCCCCCCCTTAAAAGAAGTTTGTCCCCAAACTTGACGTACCTTGGTTTTCGAAGAGGTGTGGGTATTTGGCTCGCATTTAGCTTTCAGTTTCCCACGTTGCTTCTTTGACACGATAGTTTCTCCATAAGACCTTTACGAGGGGTATAGTCTTATTTCGAAGGATCTGATCACGACGATCGAGAATCTGTACAGGTTGCTCTTCGTAAGAGAGATCTTCTTGAACTTCTAGGTTCTCATGATCAACAACATGCTCTGGATCTCGAAGATATCGACGAAGCATCGAAACGTGAAACACATTATGGATATTGTATAGTTCGGGTGGAAGCGCGAGACGATATGCCATAGGACCAATCCTCTCGAGTATCTCGAATGGGCCGATGTATCGTGGTCTTAACTTTCCTCGCTTTCCAAATCGGATAACCCCTCTTGTCGGTGAGATCTTAAGGAACACATGATCTCCCATTTGAAATTCTAAGTCTCGTCTCCGTGTATCTGCATAGCTTTTCTGGCAGCTCTGGGCAGTGCGAATTCGTCGTTGGATGAGTTGAATTTTATCGTTCGTTATTTGCACGATCTTGGGGCCTAATAATTTTCTATCTCCGACTTCCATCCAACACAGAGGTGATCGACATCTCCTTTCATACAGTGCCTCGTATGGTGCCATTCCAATACTTGCATGGTAGCTATTATTATACGCGAACTCCACTAATGGTAGATGATCATCCCAGTTACCTTTGAGGTCTAGTACACACAAACGCAACATATCTTCCAAGGTCTGGATCGTTCTTTTAGATTGCCCATCAGTTTGCGGGTGATAAGCCGTGCTAAACCTTAGGGTGGTTCCCAAAGCTTCTTGTAATTTGTTCCAAAAGTGAGACACGAAGCGGGGTCTCTATCGGATACGATTGAAACTGGGGTGCCATGCAAGCGAACGATTTTCTTAATGTAGAGAGTAGCGAACTTAGAGAGGGAGTACATGATTCTGACTGGTAGAAAATGCGCCGACTTCGTCAATCGATCTACGATAACCCATATTGCATCGTTCTTCGAGACTGAGTGCAGTAGCCCGACCACAAAATCCATAGTAATATGCTCCCATTTCCATTCGGGAATAGGGAGTGGCTGCAACATACCTGCAGGTTTTTGATGTTCCGCTTTAACTTGTTGACAACGCAGGCATTTGGAAACATGGCTTGCTATGTCTTTCTTCATTCCTGCCCACCAGAAGTGTTCCTTCAGATCGTGATACATCTTCGTATTGCCAGGATGGATCGCAAACTTCGAGCTATGAGCTTCTACCAATATCCTTTTCTTGAGTTATGGAAGGTTGGGTATGCAAATTCGATTTTGAAATTTTAGCATCCTATTGCTTATTGTAAAGTCAGGATCAGACGTGTTTCCTTGCTCCTCGTACTTTTCTTCAGAAGTTTATCTTCACATTGGCAGGCTCTAATTTCTTCAATCAATTCGGGTTCCACGATTATGTTGGCGAGCAACCCATGGATCTTGCGGGGAACGAGGGTACATGCCAAACTTTTGGTCGTTTTTCGACTTAATGCGTCTGCTACTACGTTAGCTTTGCTGGGATGATGATGGATCTCTATATCGTAGTCCTTCATAAATTCTAGCCATCGTCGTTGCCTCATATTCAAGTCCTTCTATGTAAACAGATATTTGAGACTCCTGTGATCAGTGTAGATCTCGCAGGCTACTCCGTAGAGATAATGACGCCAGATTTTGAGGGCGAAGATCACCGCAGCTAATTCTAGATCATGAGTTGGATAGTTCCTTTCATGAGTCTTTAGTTGGCGGCAGGCATAAGAAATGACCTTCCCGTTTTGCATAAGAACGCAACCCAAACCATTGTATGAGGCATCGCTATAAATTACAAACCCTTTTGCTTCGGCGGGGAGTGCTAGTATCGGAGCTGTCACGAGTTTGTTCTTCAATTCTTGGAAGCAACGTTCTTTCTTGTCCGTCCATTCAAAGGGTGTGTTCTTTTGAGTTAGCTGGGTCAAGGGTGAAGCTATTTTCGAGAAATCTTGCACAAAGCACCGGTAATAGCCGGCTAGGCCCAAGAAGCTTCAAATCTCTGATATGTCAGTAGGTCGTGGCCAATCCACGATTGCTGCAACCTTTTGGGGGTCAACTGAAATGCCATCTTTGTTAATGACGTGACCGAGGAAGTGTACACTAGTGATCCAGAACTCGCATTTCTTCAACTTGGCATAAAGTTTGTGATCACGTAATGTCTGTAGAACTTTTCGTACGTGGTATTCATGATCTTCTGGTGATTTGGAGTATATGAGAATGTCGTTAATGAAGACAATGACGAACTCATCAAGATAGGGTTTGAACACTCGATTCATGAGGTCCATAAAGGCCGCTGGAGCATTGGTGACGCCAAATGGCATGACGAGGAACTCATAGTGCCCGTAACGGGTTCTGAAGGCAGTCTTTTCAATGCTTTTCGTTTTGACTTTTAGTTGATGGTATCCAGAACACAAGTCGATTTTTGAGAACACTTGGGCGCTTTGCAGTTGATCAAACAAGTCGTCAATTCGTGGCAGGGGGTACCGATTTTTGATGGTGACTTTATTTAGCTCTCAATAGTCGATACATAACCTCATTGTACCATCCTTTTTCTTTATGAACAGTACCAGAGCTCCTCATGGTGAGGTACTTGGTCGGATGAAGCCTTTGTTCAGTAGTTCTTGGAGTTGAGTTTTTAGTTCTTTCAATTCTGCCATGGACATGAGGTAAGGGGTCTTTGAGATTGGTTGTGTGCCAGGTTGGGTTTCAATGGTGAACTCGATTTCCTGATCAACTAGGGTGCCAGGCAGGTCCTCAGGAAATACATCCGGAAATTCTCAAACCACAGGGATTACATCAAGTGTGGGGGTCTCTTGTTGAGTATCAATCACATAACAGATATAGCCACAAAAACCCTTTCTTAGCAGTCGTTGAGCTGTCATGAAGGATACAATACATGGAGGGGGAGAAGCTCCAGTTCTTTCGAAGACAAGCTCGAGCTGGTTTGGCGACCTGAGGAAGACCTTTTTGGCTTTATAATCGATAGAGGCACGGTTGGCAGCTAACCAATCCATTCCTAAGATTACATCAAAGGTACTAATGCAAATGGGTATCAAGTCTACGTGTAAGGTTTCACCTTTTAAGGATACAGTACAAGATTTGTATACATCAGTACTAATGGCGGAGTTTCCAGAAGGAAAAGACACAGATAATACATATTCTAAGGGTTCGGGTGTTCATGTCAACTTGGTAGCAAAGTGTGGTGTAACAAAAGAATGAGTTGAGCCAGAGTCAAAGAGAACATGAGCTAAGTGACCACAAACAGAAAGTGTACCTGACACAACATTTTCAGTAATTTCTGGGTTTCCAGGCACCAGGGCAAAAGCTCTTCCTTGGCGTTTTTGGTCCTTTCTCACTCTTCCAGATACTGCGGGTTTTTGAACTGGTTCAAAGGGGCGGACGAGCTTTGGACAATTTCTTAGTAAATGACCAACTTGGCCACATCTAAAGCATGCTTCTGTATCTTGTCAGCATTGTCCCCAATGAGTCCTTCCACAGGTAGAGCAAGCTGGAATGGTGCCACCTTTAGGGTCTGTAAGACTTTGATTGCTTGGACCGGTTGAACTGGTTGTGCCCGTATTTACTTTCTTGGGAGGCGCAACACCGGGTCTTCTGTTATCTCTTTCCCAAAATCGCTTCCTCTGGCTTGGTTCCCCGGAACGCAAGGTTTTAATCCCTTTTTCCGCAATGTATGCTCGATTTACCACTGCCGCATAGGTTGGTAGTTTCAAAACCTCTAGCCTGTCCTTAATTTCAGGATCCAATCTTGCTTCAAATTTTTTGGCTTTTCGAGCTTCGGTGGGAATGACATATGTCGCGAACCGGGCCAGTTGTGTGAACTTACTTTCATATTCGGCCATTGTCATGGTTCCTTGCCTTAGATGTATGAACTCTGACGCTTTTTGTTCCCGTAGTGAATCTGGGAAATACTTTTCATAGAACACCTCTAAAAATCTTGCCCAAGTCACAATATCTTCCCTCTTTAGGGTAAGAAGCCACCATTCTTGTGCATCGTCTTTGAAGGTAAAGGTGGCAAAAGTCACCTTCTGTCTTTCTGTGCAAGGTAGCGCGCGAAAGATTTTCTCCATGTCCCTGACCCAAGCCTCTGTTACTAGTGGGTTTGGACTGCCGATAAACGTAGTGGGTTTCAGATTCGAAAATTGTTTAATCGTAGTCGATTCTTCTCGTCTCTCTAATGCCCCATTGGTTATGCTGGTTTGCAAGGCCTGCAAAAAGTTGATGACTGCTCTTTCCATGATTTGTTCCATTGGGATGGTACCGCTGACTGATGATCCGGTTTCATTTCCTTTATTGGCCATTACTACAAGGTAAAATGATATAAGCGTGACGTCATATTGATACAATTTTGGTGTAACACTAACACCACATTCATATATAATACATAAGTTTTACTATTAATGTCACCACATTCATATATAACATATTAGTCTTACTATCACATTAATATCACCACATTAATACCACATATACATACATCATTGTAAAGCGTTAGTTTGGCGGTCACAAATTAATGTCTAATCCTACTGATACAAAAATATAAGGATTAGACTAATCATGGTCAGCTCACAAAAAGGGTCTTCTGGTCAGATGTCTAGAATGGACCGTTAGGCCACCAGGAGAACTGGCTTCGGAACACTGGCCCATGAAATAACCCCGGAAACTCATTCTGCATGATGGACTCCAACTCCCACCTACTGAGCTCCACTCCAAAGCAGCTCCATACTACCTGGACTACGTAAACAGGAGTATCACGATCATAACCCCAAAATTCCCGTCCAGTAATCCGTATCGGCACCTCTAAGTATGATGCATCGTCGGTAAAGTCCACAGCTAGGGTATAGGCAATGTGCTGTGGGGGAGGTGTCGTAGTGCGAAGGTGGCTACTTGGGTATGCGGGTCCCCTCCTCTCAGCAAAGCCTACGGGTAGGGGTGCGACCAGAAAATGTGGCGGTTCTCGGTCCGAAGCAAGACCAACAACGTGGGTCGGTCCTATGTACCTTTCACGAGTGCTACCTTGGCTAAGTCTCCAGAACAATAAATCCTCATCGGGGTCAGCCTGCAAATAAACTGGTCTTCCCATGAGATGGTCAAGTGTTGGATGGGTTTGCCTGACAAGACTCTCTTAGTCACCCCAGCCTTCTAATTGGTTTGGGAGGAGATGAGCTTCTGGGGGCTCGTACTAGAATAACACCATTAGGTTCGCCATTCCTACAACACAAGAAAACTTAGCTTAGACATATATATAACATGGTTTATTTGCGTTAGACATACCACATAATACCAAATAATGCGAGTTTAATATATATATATATATATATATTTATTTTTATTTTTATTTTATTTTATTTTATTTAAAAAACAACCAAAAATGACCAAACTTTAATAATACATCATATAAAAATGGTGGGAGGTAATGGTGTGAGGGAAACTTTTATGCAATGTTTTAGATGTCATGTGTGTGTGACAGTTTTACCAACCAGTTTGGCTGTGTGATTTGTTGCAATCAAATATAGTAACCAACAATTGAGATAGTGCCTTTGATCCAAGTGACTCCGATAAATGTAATTTTTTTATCCAAGTCACTACCCCAAAAATTAGTTTTTTTGGCTAAAAAAATTAAAAGTCAACTTTTTACAAATTTCTCAAAACACCACAATATAATATCACAAGTCACTCACACAGTTACGTGCATGGATTAATTTTAATACCATTTATAATGTCTTATCACTTTCCAGCTCTAGTAGTAGTAATCTATAGAAAGTGGATTTACTATGAAATTTTTTAATGTAAGATAGGATTGTTACATTTTTAAAGAGTGCCTATTATAATGTTTCCTAAACCCACAATTTACTGAATGAGAAAAAAATTTGTTATATCACTGGAACTTTTAAGTGAAACTATTCACTTGTTATATGTTTATTTTTTTATTTTTTTATGGTGAGTTTGATTATTATTTAAATATAATACGTCCTTCATGTATACTTGATGTTTATTATTTTAGTATAAATAAAGGATAAACTAAAATGGTGAAATGTATTTAGTGATAATATTATTTTAATAAAAAAATATATATGTCAGTCAAAGAATAAATTTTATATTTTTTACCGTATCTTCCGTAAATCCACACAATATCTATATAATGTTTGTTGTCTACATGCATGAATCAAAAAGAAGAAGAAGAAATCTATTGGTGATGATTAAGGGTGTTAAAAAAAAAAAAATTCAGTGACACCCATAAAATCATATGATTTGGTATAGATCTTGAGGGAACGGTTTGATTCCAGTTCTAATAAATTAAGAATTATTGATTATGATTTGGTTCACAAATTTAAACTCACTCAAAAACCCATTTAAACCGATTCGAACCATTCCCTGTTCTTTATTTATAGGAGTGTTACCCATTGTATTTATTTTCAATTTCACTGATTTCCTAAAACCTTCACTTCCCTATTTATACTTAAACAAGGTGTGAAGCCCAAGCAATAGTTGTATACGTGGCGGCATTCTCAATCCCCCACTAATTTACCCTTTTTACTTTGACCCTTTACTTTGACTCTTATCCTAATCCAGAGTCTTATCCCTTTTGTTTAACCCTTATCTTGTACCAACGTCTTGAGACTTGAATTATGGGTTTAAAGGGTTACTATCTCTTTGGTAATTTGATGACTCTTAGAATTATATACGACTATAAGTTAGGTTCATGTCTAAAAACCTTACTACTTAACTATAAGTCACCACTTACCACTTACTAAAATATTTAACGTGTAGTGTTTAACAACGTATTTCTTTAATAATCAAATTCCCAATTTATTATGCATTTATTTATTATTATTTGTTTAGTTATTATTCTTGTCATTACATGTATATATATATATATATACATTTGTTTATTATCATTTATTTATTTATTTATTTTTTTGAATTCTATTTATTGTAATTTTAAAACATTCGGGTGTCACATGATGAATTACCTCCCCTTCCTAATCCTAGGTGGTCCAGATGGCTCCCACTCCTTCATCTCAGTATATTTGAAATCTTTGTAATTAATGATACTTGATGTGCTTAATTACATCTATACATGCTAATCTTCTCATATTAATTAGTGATTAATTAGCCCCCAAATAAATCTCTTCATCATGTGTTTGATGAGCACAATGGCAAATTAATTTACATAACATGTATAGCTTATTTATTTTATTATTTTCATTATTATTATTATTATTATTCGTGGTTGGTTGTGGTATTAATTAAATATTTAGGGTGTCACATTTCTCCCCAACTAAATAGAAGTTTGTTCTCAAACTTGACGTACCTTAATTTTCGAAGAGGTGTGGGTATTTGGCTCGCATTTGACTTTTTGTTCTCACGTAGCTTCTTCGATACAATGATTTCGCCATAAGACTTTTACCAACGGTATGGTCTTGTTTCGGAGAACTTGATCACGACGATCGAGAATCTGCACTAGTTGCTTTTCATAAGAGAGATCCTCTTGAACTTCCAGGTTCTCTCAATCAACAACATGTTCTGGATCTTGAAGATACCATCGACGTATTAAAACGTGAAACACATTGTGGACATTGGATAGTTCAGGTGGTAGTGTAAGGCGATAGGCTATAGGACCAATCATTTCCAGTATCTCGAATGGCCCGATATAACATGGGTTTAACTTTCCTCGCTTTCCAAATTAGATAACTCCTCTTGTTGGTGAGATCTTAAGGAACACATGATCTCCTATTTGAATTTCCAAGTCTCGTCTTCGTGTATTTGCATAGATTTTCTGGCGACTTTGAGCAGTGCGAATTCGCTGTTAGATGAGTTGGATTTTCTCAGTTGTGACTTGCACGATCTCGGGGCCTAACAGTTCCTGTCCCTAACTTTCGTCCAACATATAGGTGATCGACATCACATTCCATATAGAGCTTCGTACGGTGCCATTCCAATGCTTGCTTGGTAGCTGTTGTTATAGGTGAATTCCACTAAAGGTAGGTGCTCATCCCAGTTACATTTGAGGTTCAACATGCATACATGTAACATGTCTTCCAACGTTTGGATTGTTCTTTTAGATTTCCTATTAGTTTGTGGGTGATAAGCAGTGCTAAACTTCAGTGTGGTTCCGAAAGCTTCTTGTAATTTGTTCCAGAAGTGAGACACGAAGCGGGGGTCTCAGTCAGACACGATTGAAACTAGGGTACCATGCAAACGAAAAATTTCCTTGATGTATAAAGTGGCAAACTTAATAAGGGAGTACATGATTTTGATTGGAAAAAAATGCGCCGACTTTGTCAATCGGTCTACTATAACCCATATTGCATCATTCTTCGAAAATGACTGTGGTAGCCAGACCACGAAGTCCATAGTAATGTGCTCCAATTTCCATTCAGGAATAAGGAGTGATTGCAGCATTTCTGTAGGTCTCTGATGCTTTGCTTTAACATGCTGACAATGTAGACATTTGGAGACATGACTTGCTATGTCTCTTTTCATTCCTGTCCACCAGTAGTGTCCCTTTAGATCATGGTTACATCTTTGTGTTGCCAGGGTGGACTGTAAATCTCGAGCTATGAGCTTCCACTAATATCTTCTTCTTGAGTTCCGGAATGTCGAGTACACAAATTCAATTTCAAAATTTTAGTATCCCATTACTTATAGTGAAATCAGGATCAGGTGTACTCCTTTGCTCCTCGTACTTTCTCTTCAAAAGTTTATCTTCACATTGGTGCGCTTTAATTTCTTTAATCAATGCGGGTTCTACGGTTATATTGATGAGTAGTTCATTGATCTTGTGGGAAACGAGAGTACATGCCAAACTTTTAGTCGTCTTTCGGCTCAGTGTGTCTGCCACCGAGTTAGCTTTTCCTAGATGGTGATGGATTTCTACATCGTAGTCTTTCATAAATTCTAGCCATCGTTGTTGCATCATATTCAGTTCCTTCTGTGTGAACAGGTATTTAAGACTCTTGTAATCAGTGTAAATTTTGCAAGTTACACCGTAGAGATAATGACGCCAGATCTTGAGGGCGAAGACCACCGCAGCTAATTCTAGATTATAAGTTGGGTAGTTTTTCTTGTGAGTCTTTAGTTGGCATAAGGCATAAGCAATGACTTTTCCATTTTGCATAAGTACACAACCCAAACCATTGTATGAGGCATCACTATAAATTACGAACTTATCTGTTTCTCTAGGGAGTGGTAGTATAGAAGCTGACACAAGTCGACTTTTTAATTCTTGAAAGCAACGCTCCTATTTGTCAGTCCGTTCAAAGGGTGTGTTCTTCTGAGTTAGCTTGGTCAATGGTGATGCTATCTTTGAGAAATCTTGCACGAAAATTCGGTAATATCTAGCTAGACCCAAGAAACTTCGAATTTCTGACAAATTAATAGGTCGTGGCCAGTCCACGATTGTTGTAACTTTTTGGGGGTTAATCGAGATGCCATTTTTGTTAATGACGTGACCGAGGAAGTGTATACTAGTGATCCAAAATTCGCATTTATTCAGCATGGCATAAATTTTGTGATCACGTAGTGTTTGTAGAACCGTTCACAAGTGCTGCTTATGGTCTTCTGGTGAGTTGGAGTATATGAGAATGTCGTCAATGAAGACAATGACTAACTCATCAAGATAGGGTTTGAACACTCGATTCATGAGGTCCATGAAGGCTGTTGGGGCATTTGTGACGCCAAATGGCATGACGAGAAACTCGTAGTGCCTGTAACGGGTCCTGAAGGCAGTCTTTTCGATGCTTTCCGTTTTGACTTTTAGTTGATAGTAACTAGAACGCAAGTCAATTTCGAGAATACTTGGGCGCCTTATAGTTGATCGAACAAGTCATCGATTCATGGCAGAAGGTACCGATTCTTGATGGTGACTTTGTTTAGCTTCCGGTAATCAACACATAGCCTCATCGTGCCATCTTTTTTCTTTACAAATAGTACTGGAGCTCCCCAGGGTGAGGTACTAGGTCGAATGAAACCTTTGTCCAGGAGTTCTTGGAGTTGCGTCTTCAGTTCTTTCAATTCCGTCATTGACATGCGGTAAGGGGCTTTTGATATTGGTTGGGTACCAGGTTGAGTTTCAATGGG